CACGCGATAAAAATTACCATAAGGGAGACTTTACACGGAATCTTAATTTATTTTTCTTAAATAAATGTTTCACAACCTTTTAATATTACAACTACATCCCCTAAGGGTAATTTTTGTTTTTAAAAAGTAGGATAAAAGAAATGTCACGTGTACAATGATAGAATCCACATTTTTTGGGATATTACATGGAATAAAAAAGATTGCAAAAAAAAAAAAAAAAAAAAATCATACCTTAAGGGGGTCGTGTAAGATAGAAACAAACATGAGGAAATTTTGGTAATTACCGATAAATGGGGGTGTTTTTCGTAATTTAGCCAAAGTTCATGAGGATTTTCATAATCTATCATATTAACAACAATTATTGTTGTTTTTACGTCTTACGTTTGCTTATACCCTTTCAATTTAAATAATTTTAATGTCAGTTTGATAATATAATTAAATATTAATTTCTAATATATTTAATGTGTTTTTGGATGCTTCAGTTACCACACATAAGGACTTTGATATAAAGGTTGCGAGATTGAATATAATTGTTTTTTTATACAAAATAATAGATCATTGCAAAACACATTGATACAAAATCATTATTAGTATTGTGATTAGTATTAGCATTAATTAGAATTGTGATTATTATTAATATTCTTTGAATTGGTATTAGTATTAAGACTAGGATTAGGATTCGAATTAATATAGTATTAGATAATATTAGGATTGTGATATATAAGGATTATGATTAGTATTAGTATTAGTATTAGAATTACAATTAAGATTATGATTATGATTAGTACTACAATTAGTGACATGTATTAGTATTATGATTATGATTAGTATTAGTATTAGAATTACAATTAAGAATATGATTATGATTAGTACTACAATTAGTGACATGTATTAATATTAGGATTATGATTAACATTAGGATTAGGATTATGATTATAATTAAGATTATAATTATAATTAGAATTAACATTAGCATGCGTATAAGCATTAGCATTATTAGTATTAAAATTATTAGGCTAGGATTAGACTTATGATTAGTGTTAGGAATATGATTAGGATTAGAATCATGATTAGTGTTATGAATAGGATTAGGAATAGGATAAGAATTTGGATAATATTAGGATTAGAATTATAATTAACATTAACATATCCAGATTAGCATTAACATAAAATTAGTATTAGTATTAGTACATGTATATTAGCATTAACATTAACCATATTAGCATATTAGTATTAGTATTAGAATTAATATTTGTATTAGTATTAGTATTAATATTAGTATTAGTATTAGTATTAGCATTGGCATTAGTATTAGTATTAGTATTAGTATTAGTATTAGTATTAGTATTAATATTAGTATTAGTATTAGTATTAGTATTAGTATTAGTATTAGTATTAGTATTAGTATTAGTATTAGTATTAGTATTAGTATTAGTATTAGTATTAGTATTAGTATTAGTATTAATATTAGTATTAATATTAGTATTAGTATTAGTATTAGTATTAGTATTAGTATTAGTATTAGTATTAGTATTATTATTAGTATCAATATCAGTACGAATATCAATATTAGTATTAGTATTAGTATTAATATCGATATTAGTATCAGTATTAGTATTAATATTAGTATCGATATTAGTATCAGTATTAGTATCGATATTAGTATCGATATTGGTAAGTATTGATATCCGTATTGGTATCGGTGTTGGTATCAGCAATGGTATCAATAATGGCGTAAACATTATCTTTTTTGAAATATTTATAGGTTGTATTATTGTTTGAGTAATGTACATCACTAATTGAACGCCGTTAGTGATAAACTTGCAGGTTATTTGAATATCTATTGTGTTACTTCTCTGCTATCGTATTGGTTGTTAAGTTATTTATTTTGTAGAAGATTGACATGGTGTAGTAGTTTGCATTCCACAAAATAGAGTTATACCATATATTTTGAATGATTTCACTTAATCTTCATATTGTGTTTTGCGCGCTTCGCGTTTTTTTCTTTGTATATTTAATTGAATTTCATATGTTACAACTCTGAATTAAGAGATAAAGTTTATTTTTTTTTTATTTCCTTCCATTTTGTTTTACTTGAATTCATGAAGTTATAAAGAAATAACCATTTCCATATTATTATTTTTTCTCATTTCAAAACTAACCCCGTGCAACGCACGGGTGAAGTACTAGTATGGTATAAAACTTGGTAGTATTGAAGTGAGAAAATTTTGGTATTTATTCTAGCCACCCCTTTATTTATATGTACTATATTTTTTTGCAAAATCCTGTATAAAAAAAATATAAAATGTAAGCAAATAAAAGAAAATGATACAACATATGTTTAATTTTTTTTTTAATATATTTGATTCTTAATAATTATAAAAATGAAGGATGCATAATATTTATAAAATAAAAAACAGTTATTATTGTGTGAATGTCATTGTATTATTGAAAATTATAGGCAAACAGTTTGTTGGGTACCCGTTGAGCTATTATAATTATTTCAAACCGAATAATTATGAATATATATAAATATAGAAGATAATCGAAAAGGGAAACGCGTTTAGGGATTATACGCTTTCTAATAAATTAAAATAAAATACGGAAAGCAAAAACAAACTCAAAGACCTACATGAGTCTATTTGAAGAGCAACGAGGTGTGAGAGGTCACGTCACCTCATTCTTGATATTGTTCGATTCCATGTGAACTTTTTCGATAGTAATTTGATTGCGAACGTTCAATTTGGTCATTCATGTGGAGATTGTTGGAGAAGTAATTAATAGAATGAACCAATTGACAGTGATTTTTCAAGATCATGGTAGTGGCATTAACATTATTAATCATGTGGTTAGGTCTTTCATTTGTGAAGGCATTAACATTGTTAATCATGGTAGTGAGGTTAACATTATTGATCATGTGATTAGGTCTTCTATTTGTGAAGGCATTAATATCACCGATAAGGGGGGAACTTTCGGAACAATTGATCAAGCGAGTGGCATTTTAAGTTGTTTATGTGTATCTATAAAAGGGGCTCATTCGATCCTATATTCGGTGATATACATTGGGTGGGTCTTCTGCTTCCACGTGTTATTTTTTGTATTTTTCTAAGACCCCTACAAGTTAATTTTAGTGGGGAGATATATTATAAAATATAAAAAAGGACACGTGGCAGCAAAAAATTTACCCGATATTTATCATCGGGTGCAGGGTCGAAGAAGTCATATAAAAGGGAAGTATTCAAGAACAATTGTAGAATATAAACAAAGATATGCCTTTCTTTATTTTTGCTATGTCATTTTCTTCTTTATGCATGTTCTATTCATGTTAGTAAAAAAAAATGACAGTGCTATTTTTACCTTTAAAATATCTTATTTCACTACTAAATTAAAATATTTCCTATTTTATTTCTTTCTTTCTCTTTGACCCATATCTTATGCAAATTCATAGAATGTCTACCACCAAACTAATTAGAATAATTACAAAAAACTACACAATTTTCCACTATAATCTTTATTACAAAATCTCACTCTCTCCACCTTAAGTGAGCCATACCTTCCTTAGAGAAAAACACTTAAAGGTCAAAAAGAGTAGGAATTCACGTTGAATAGATTTTTTTTTAAACAGAGAATTTTGATATTGTTGTTTTCGGTGGATTAAAATTTAGAAAATGGGTTACATTTCATTTAGCGCAATCCGCCCAAAAACTGAATCGGATTGAACGATTTTCAGGATCTTGTATTTTGGAAGAATCAACAGTCTGCTAACTATAAAAAATCTAAAGTTCACAATTTTGTTGTACAAAATTGGATGAAATGTTTTGTTGCATTAACACAAGTCACATAATCTGCAGGTCGATGATAAGAAATTTTGAATATCTTGAAATGGGTTACATTTCATTCAGCGCTATCCGCCCAGAAATCGAGAAGGATTGAATGATTATTAGAATCTTGTTTTTGGAAAGGATCAACAGACTGGTAACTATACAAAATCTAAAGTTAACAATGTTGTTGTGCAAAATTGAATGAAATGTTTTGTTGCATTAACACAAGTCACATAATCTGTAGATCGTATGATATGAAATTTTGAATATCTTGTAATAAATATTTTATTGCAATAAAAAAAAAAAATTATAACATAGGAGGATTAAGCGGTATAAGGGGATGATGGTGGATTAGAAATATTTATAATATTTTATATAAATTTGATGGCGAATTTAGATAATTTAGAGCAGGGTTGGGCATGGGTCGGGTTGGGCAATTATTGGCCAATTATCTACCCGACCTGACCATCCGATTTTGCTGAAAATTCAAAACCATTACCGTCTCGACCATTATGAGTCGGGTGAACAATGGGTGGTTGGTTGGTATTATCGGCCATCATTTTTTTTTTTACAATAATAAGATGTTTTTTTAAAAGATATTAAAAACTGAGAGAAAAATTATTTGAGTAAAAATCTTAAATTTTTAAAATTAAGAGTTTTTTTTATTAAACTTCTGCAATAAATAAATATATAATGAATAATTTGGAATAAGAATTATAAAATAAAAATAGTACGGAAAGGTTTATAAATTTGTGATTTGAGTTTTTGAGTTTTTACTTCTTTCATATATTATTTTAAAATAAAAAAAATAAGAATTACAATTAAATATTTATAATAAAAAAAATTATTAAAAAAGTCGGTTGGTTGATATTATTATCACCCGACCAACCGACTTTTGAGTATAAATGGATCGGTCAAAATTACCGGCCCGATAACAAAATTATCGACCAAAAGAAGTAGGTCGAAAGTGGATCGGTTGGCCGATAAAACCGATTCATGCTCAGCCCTAATTTAGAGATAGAAATAGCACCACTCATAAATAAAATAAAAAAAAAAAAAAGTTTAGCATTAGTCGTCGTCGATTAGCTGGTCGGTGGTGCATGCGTATTATCGCATGGCCCGTTGTCGTCTCTTACACAATAACATTTCTTTCTCTCAATAACATAAAACAGATCTTGCCATTTTGGCTCCAAAAACAGTTAAAACTTTTTCCCAGCAGAAAATGCATCTCTTTCAAATTACAGTACAAAAGTTAACAGCTTTCTTGCAGATGTCAACATAATATTCAAGAATTTCAAAAATTTACTCAACAAGTACATTTTCAATAGTCAACTAGAAAAAGTGCCCAAAAAAAAAATAGAAGACAAATAATATCAGACATTAAATACAGGGTATTTGTTTTCTCCTACTAGCTACAAGCAAAGTCGAATCGTTTCTTTCTCCCTCTCCTCGTCGATTTCCGTGGAGGAAACATTCGAATCTTGCTTCACAAGGCATCTCTTGTACGGCATAAACCCCCTCCTGGAGTTCACCGACGACCCCGATATTTTCCTACTCAATTTATTGGACGAAAACGCCCTTTCATCCTCCCCTCTCCGTTGAGGGCAGCTATTCGAACCGGTCGAGGACGAAAACGTCTTTTCATCGTTGTACAAGGGCTGCGCTTTGACCGGGGTTGGATTGTGCACTTCGAGAGTCAACCATGGAAACGGGCCCCACTTATCACTCGTCGTTTGTGTGCACGAGATATTACTAGTCTTAATTTCGTTACTATAAACTGGCGTAGTTGATCGATCACAAGTCTCCACGGTGGAATTGATCAATAATATCTTGCCAAACAGCTTCAAACTTTGGGCGGAAGATTCGTTCGACTCTTGTCCACAAGAAGACGAAATTTCCGATTCCTGTTCGGTAAAAGTAAAACATTGTTAGTTCCAGTATAAATTGGATCAATATCTAGGGAAGGAAATCAGATCGGAATTAGGACTTTGGAAAAATTCCAATTCTGTTTTTGGAAGTGGAAAATTAATTTCAATTCTGTTCCAAAATAATTCGAAAATTGAAATTTCGGAAATTGTTAGTTTGAACATAAATTTTGATCACATCTAGGTTTGGAAATCGGACCGATCAAATCGGAATTAGCACTTTCAGGAAAATTCCATTTTTTTCAGAAGTGGAAAACTAATTCCAATTCCATTCCAAAAAAAAAAATCAGAAATTGGAAAAAAAAATACTTGTTCTGAAATCGAAAATTTCCGATCGAAATTGGCAAAATAAAAAAAAAAATTAAAATAAATTCCCATTTTCCGGCCAGCTAATTTATATGATAATATTGATATTATAAGTGTAATTTTCGGAAAAAAAAATTGGAATATTCGGAAATATTTTAAAAAATTAACATAAAATCGGGAACCGAGAATCTAATATGTTTTCCAATTCAATTAAAAAAATGGAAATATTGGATTACGAAACTTTCACAATTCAAAATCAAAATTATAGTTCCAAAATCGGTTTTCGGATTGGAATCAGCGAGATTTCAAAACTTCCGTTCCAATTTCCACACCCCTAATCAAATCAAATGCAATCATAAACAAGGCTCATAAAAACGAATCGCGCTATAGTAGTACCAGATTTTTTCGTTCATCTTCACTCGAATTTCCAATTTGGCAATCTTCCGGAAGAAATTTGGGCGCCTCGGTATCGGAATCATTGAGAGCAAGATCAGACGATGAATCCGAAGCTACAGCAGATAAAACGGAAGTAGGAGATTGGTTCTCATCCTCCGAAGTGCTCGGAGATGCTGCCGGAATATTCTCCTCCTGTATCGAGATTCCCATTTTCAGTGGAGAAACGAGCTTACGAGGGTAAGGGTGCATCGGTTTCCTCTTAGGCCTAGGTGGCGGAATTTCGATCGGTTTTACGGGAATGCCATCGATCGTATTAGACTCACGAACAACCTGAATAGAGCCAAAGAGATTCCGTGTGTTAGTTAGTACAATAGATACCCAAATGATCTAGTTTTTACTACTAATATAATTTTTGGGTTTATTGCATTCAGCACCCCTCTGTTTTATCTAATTGCACAAAACTCCTCTCCATGTTATTTTGATAGCAAAAAAAACCCCATATGATTCAATTTTGTTTAGCAACCAGCCACTAAAAACCAACTGCTTAGGGGTTGTGTCCAAAACTAAAATGCATTAGAAGGGGTTCTTTTTGCTAATATTTAATAACACGGGGAGTTTTTTAGCAATTCGATACAGCGCAGGGGTACTAAATGCAATAAACCCTATATTTTTTCGCACGCCTTGATGGTCATAAAGAGATATGACTTACTCAAGAAGGCGGCGTATTAGATTATAATGGTAGTTGTATAAGAGCATTAAAACCTTGGAGAAAAACTTCTGAGCATGGCTTCTTATTTGCACTGCCGTTTTCGTGCCCACATGCTCTGAAAATTTCAAAAAAAAAAAAAAAAAGGTTAGAATTCTCGTTGCACGAAAAAATAAAAATAAATGTGTGTGGATCGGATCAAATACGTACCTTCGATTTTCCTCCAAGCGCGACCGTATAGTTTCAAGGCCTCGAGAAATTTCTTGTGCTCTTCTTCGGTCCATCTTTCTCTTTGTTTAGTAATCGTGTACGGCTTTCTCACCTACTCGAATAAAATGCAAAAAATTTACGGAAATAAGTCGAATGATTTACGTTTTAAATTGTTTAATAAGCAAAAAAAACTAAGGGAAGCGTGTAAAAAACCTTTAGGCCGCAATCGTCCACGGGACTGAACTGCTCTTTCAACGGGATAATTTCGATTTTCTTACATCCATTTTCTTCTTCCTGCATTAGAAACATCAAGAATTCAATTAGAAACATTAATACTGAGAATTAAAGTTTTATTTTTTATTAAGAGACTGAGTTAATTCGAGTTGTAACGAGTTCGTTTCTTTTCGCATACCGATCTTGTTCGATTATCAAACAACCTCATATGGCACAAACCCACATCTGATTCACTTTCGGAATGATTAATTAAGAAATTTTTACCAGCAAATTTATGTCCTATCAAGAGTTTTTACCAGAAAAAACGAAAAACGGTTACAAACTGGAGAATTATTACACATAATCAAAAAGATTCCACTAAATTCCACACATTTTGCAAAGGGTTTTTCGTAAGTAGATCCGGGTTGTTATACTTACCCGAACATCATGAGGGGCTTTTTCGTAATTTGACCTTACTTCGGGCCATAATTTTACCCTATGAACAAGAATTTATTTTTAATTTTTTTCTTGACAAAATCTCAATTTTATTTGGTATAGCTAACAGAAGAATTACAAGAAACCATCATCTTTTCTTGGTTTTTTTTTTAAATCTGTTATATACTACTAGAGCAAAACAGCAGAGAGACAGGGGCAAAAAGGTAAAATTGCCATCAAATTAAACAGAACAAAAAAACCCAAATCGAACTACAGAATCCATAGCTAAAAAAAATAAAGCTCACCTGTAATGAACCCATAGCTTCACAAACCAGAAGCTTAGCCGAGAAATCCGCTGAACCTATTTATTAATCAAATAAAATATTTTTTTCTCTCCGCCGTGAATTCGAAATCAAGATCAGAACTTTATTACAAAGGGCAACTGAGAGTGAAAGAAGAGCCACAGATTTTTTTAATTTATTTTTTATTATGAGCTAAGAACAAATGAGAGGAGAAAAAAAGGAAAATAATATATAAGAGGAGGAAATGATTTTGGGTTTGGCTGCTTAATGGGTGGGGTGGGGATGAGAGAGAAGAAGAAAGAAAAAGTGTTATGGATGCCACGTCATTGGGGGTGAAAGTGTAAATTGTGCACTTTATGGGGGGGCTTTCTGGTATTTGATTGAGAAATACGAAGGAATCTTGTGGCTAAAATTGAATTGGAGGTGACGACACGTGGCGCGTCTACGTAAGCTAACACCACCAGCGCTTTTTCTCTTTTTTCTTTGTTTTGTTCAAAATCTTATCTGAGCGTTTACTAATTATTTAATAAATGAGGGGGGGTTTCGCACTTTTCCATTAGTCGGATGCCACGTGTCTGTCGTTTCGTGGACAGCTATCTTCCCTCACGGGAAAACATTGTTCGTGTTGGGGTTTGATATTTGCAAAGGCCAACTTATTTTATTATTATATTATTATATTTATAGGACAATATTAAAAAAAAAAAAAAAAACCATATCCCTTGGTCAAAGTTGTTCGTAAAACAATGGATGCTTGGTTTTCTTTCAATTTCAATTTTATTATTTCTCGAAAATAAATTCGTATTTGTTAACTTATCAAAAATAATTCTTACAGCAATTTCAAAAGTTTATGTCTTTATGTCTATTGTAAATATAATTTGGCTGCTTCAATAAGAAAAAAATTGACTGACTGCCGCGTTAGAAGATATTTCCACTAAAAACAAACAAGTATCACTTTACCTATTAATTTTTTTTTTAAATTACACTTTTCCATCACCTTTAAAAATGATTTCACTCTAGCATTCTCAAGAGCAAAACATATTTCTTCAAAATAAAATGAAAATAATTTCTAAAATTATTTCAAACATTACCAATATCTATGAATCCAACATTATATATTTATGTTTTATAAATATTTGAAGAAAAAAGAATAAGTGGTTCGTGTTGAATTACATGAACCAGTTACACTAACTAATGTCGTTGTTGTTATTACTTTTTTAATAGTTTTATAACGATTCAATTGCACTTTGCTTTTGAAATCATTTCCGGCAGCGAAGCCCAAAACTTGTGTTTCTCAACAATATGTGAAGTCCAGAGTAATAACATGTTTCTCAACAATATGTGAAGTCCAGAGTAATAACTCACAGTTTTCCGCTCTTTTTCTTTTTAGTTTTTCTTTTAATTCATAAACCTACTTAACATAATCAATATTGGGGTACAGTAAAATTTAACTTAGATTTATTGTAAAATGAGGCTCGAGAATTGATTTGATGTTATAACATTGAAATTTTCATATTTGCTTTCCTTTCATTTATGTTGGAAAAAGTAACTAGGGGAAAATGTACTACAAATGAAGCTGCGCAATAATTATAATATATATTTTCTAATTCGAACTAAAAGGTGATAAGAAAACAAAACTTATCAATTATATATGTCGAATAATTACTATAATGACAAATTGTGAATAACAACAATAATATTTGACCAAAAAAAAATTGAAAAATATTCATAAGATGAAGGTATAAGAAAATAATTAAAGTACCTTAAAGTCTTCTGCGTCCTCGTCACTAAATTCATTTGGTTGATTCAATTTCTTTTCTTAATTGCTTGATATTTAAAAAACTATTACAAATTTGAACATAAATTTTAGACTTTAATGGATTTGTTTTTTAATATGTTATATTATAAAATATAAACCATATTGGTCTTTGAGATGCTACACTTGATGAAATACACGTGTGTGAAATATCTTTCCACTAAGCACACATACAAATGAGAGTTTGTGTGTAATTGTGTGCAGATCAACGGTTATTAATCACTCGATGTAATTCGCTGGTGTAGCATCAAAAAACCCACCCAATATAGCTTTTTTTTTTACACGAAGGAATCACATTCAATCTTATAGGTGCAGTAGATATACTTACTCTTTCGTGTAATACCTTGTAAACCAAATGAGATATACAAACAACAATATAATAGACAACTAACCATGTATAATTAATGAGTTTAACCTAAAAATTATTGACAAGGAGATTCGAACTTGTGTCAAATTATGGCACTATATTTTCTTGCCACACCCATTAGACAACCTCTCCGTGGGCTAAATCTAGTATACTACAAAATCGTCCCCCAAATGAGGATCTAGTGGTTTGAGCAAGTGAGAATTTGTGTCAACTGATCCAAGTTCGAATCCACTTGTCAACAATTGTTAGGTCGAGTTTGTCAAACATGGGTAACCTAATATAGTTCACATGTCTCGTGTGGTTTGCAAATTATATATACGACGAGAGTGTAGTTTTTATGCATTTATATGATTAGCTGTGGTTCCTGTCATTAAAAAAATTATATATACTACTTAAATCAAAATTCAATAATTATAAATTGAAGATAAGTAAAATTAAAATTGGTAATAGGTATTTTTCAATGAACATGCAAATTTGAATAATGTAGGTGGGCCCCAATTGGAAGAAAAAGCAACAAGGACCACATGATAAATAAATGTTTAACCAGAAATTAAATATAAAGGCGGTCCACATGTTCGTCATCCAGGGCGAGTTACACTTGCTTTTGTCTCCACAACTTGCAAAAGCTCATTTCCTTACACAAATATCCCCACACACACACATGCATTTATATATATTTTTATATTACTTAAATATCTTACAACCTCTTAAAATAGGCATATATTCAACATTTTTTTTCCCTATTTGTGGATATTGCTAAGATATTATTATGTGGTATATATATTTCCACTCTTGAAGAAGATAGAATCGTATTCTAATTTATTAAGGGTAAATTATAACCACCCCTGAGGTATGGTTAATTTATGAAAAAAATTCCTCTTGTTCGAATAATTATATTTACCTCTCACCTATAATTTTTCTTACACTCTCTATCTTTATGGTGTCAAATTCAACGTTATTATCTAGATTTGTGGAATGTACTCTAATTTGTACTCGTTTTGTGCAAAAATACAATTTCTGATGCACCACAATTTAATATATACAAGCCAAAAAACACATATTATGATTATCTTGCTTCAAAAAGTAGAGTTCGAATGTCATAAAACGGGTACAAAAGTGATAATATTCCATATAATTTCGAAGATTCCAGAAAATTTGAAACCGCAAGGGTGTATATGTAAGAAGATTTATAGTTAAGGGGTTGTTGTAATTACCCAAACATGATGAGAGTTTTCGTAATTTGACCATACATCAGGGGATGGTTGTAATTTACCCTGTATTTGGGTTCCGTGTCATTAAAAAAATGTGATCGTATATAATTTTGGATTCCACCACTTTCAATATGCCATCTCAAGTCAAGCGAATAACGCTTCAATACGTTCTCTCAAGTGCAGACGCGAATAACATTTGAAGTCTTGCACTTAAATTATTTGAAATGGGCGATTGCAGTGAGATTCGAGCTTAAAGCCTTTCATTTGGTATGAATATAATACCATATTGAATGACCACCTTAACAAAAAAACTTAACTTGTAGGTGAATACATCATTCAGATGTTGTTTGGCTAAGTTTATAAGATGCTGAAAATAGCTTATAAGCTTTTCAACTTTTAAAACATCTTATATGAGTTTACCAGCTATTTAAATTAAATTTAGCCAAACGGGCCTCTCTAATATATTATTAATTATGAAACAAACTATTGGATAAGTAATTGAATATTTTAATAGTAATAAAATAAGATCAATCAAGCATATACGTATCTAGACCAATTGATTATACATCCACAATAGTATGATATTGTATATTTTAATCAAGATCAAACTTTGTTTTTGTTTTTGTATATCTTTCAAAGACCTACCGCCATAAGTATATTATATTATTATTCGTCCAATATAAACCATTGGTCCTTTTTTCATACCGAGTCAGTGTGGGACACATTTTACACCCCAACCATATCAAATGAGGTATTGAAGCACAAATTAGGGAGAAATAGGACTGAATTGAGCAACGCGTAATCGGAGTCCGATGGTTCGACCCGATTATATTTGAACTAAGTTTAAGTTTTAATGAACCGGTTAAATTTGAGCCACTTTATTAAACTTGATTTGTTTATGACCTCCGCCTAATTAAATTAATAATTAAATATATATAAATTATTTATTATTTTAATACATACAAGTTACAACCTTATTAGATCGTTATATTTTGCAAAAACATTAGTAAAAAATAATCCTTCATTGTGGACTCTGATGGAAAAACAAAAAAATACAAAAAAGTCAAAACGAAAAACAGGTTAAAATACAATTACATCTAGAATTACTTTTTATTTTATTTTATGTTTCTTCAGTTTGGTTTGTGATACATTTTTTGTCATATAACTACTTAAGGAGACTAATCATTACAATGTTAAACTTGATTTGTATCAAGGAACATACTATGATTTTATCTTATTTTGCGAATGGTTTTTATCCTATTTTGTTCTTCATGAATATTATGATTTTGTTTCTTTGGCCCATACTTATTCTTTTTAAACACGTTCGGCTGCAAAGTTGTAAAATATGTAGTTTACATATTGCTCAACATAGGCCCGATATGAATCAGAAGGCCCGAAAAAGTAAATGAGTTAAGTTTGAGCCCATAATAAAGTCCGATGGTATGTGAACTTGAACATATAATAAATTAATAATGAGACTCAATGGTACGTGAGCTTGAGTCAACTCAAGCTCGACCCACATGATCTGATTGCCAGCCCTAATAAAAAAAAGAGTTATTTAAAAAAAATGAAATAGAAGAGAGTTGCTTAAAAGAAAAAAGAAATAAAATAATATAATAACAATTAATAATTAAGAAATAAGAAGAAGGAAATAGAAGAGAGGAGAGAGAGAGAGAGAGAGAGAGAGAGGAGAGAGAGAGAGAGATAAGGGTAAGGCAAGAATTGTGGACTAGAAAGAAACAAACCAAAGTGTGGTGGGTGAGGATGAGGATGGATGAGAAGATGATATGTTTTCACCTATTTAATTTCTGTGGGACCCGCTTTCCTTTCAGGTGGTGGCGAGTGGCCTTTTTGCACTTTTTCCGCCACGTCACCGCCAC